GCTCTCTCTCTGTGTCAAGTTGGCCAGCGATGGAGATGGTGACAATGGAAGAGGTGTGCCAGCGACGGTGATGCAGGAGAAGAAGAGAGAATTGCGAGAGTCGTTGTTGCTTGAATTGAATCTGATCTAGCAGCTCAGTACCAACAAACAGGCAAGTTTATCTCAAACGCTCTCTCTGTCTCTGTATCTGTGCTGTCTGCTCTCTGCTCTGCACAAATTAGGCAACCATAACCATGAAACCCCACAAACTCCTCAACCCTCAGACCCTAAAACCCTCCAAGCTCAGACCCATTTTCCTCACAAACCACGCTCCCTCCTCCGCACCTTTCTCTTCACTCACTCATCCAGAAAACCCCACAGACCCTCAACCAATAACCCGCCACTCTCTACTCAAAACCATCCAATCTTCTCAGTGGCATTTCATCAAACACCTTTCGCCCAACCTTTCCCCCTCTCTAATCTCCGAGGCCCTCTTTGAACTCCACAAAAGCCCACAACTTGTCCTTGAATTCATCTCCAATGTCGACTTTCACCGCCTGGATATCCAAACCCGGTGCCTCGCCATAGCCATTGTCGCCCGCCAGTCTTCCCCAAAACCCGCTTTAGAACTCTTGAAGCAAGTCGTTGGTAGCGGCATTGCTACAATCAGAGAGATTTTCAATCTACTGGCGCTCTCACGGGAGCGTTTGAGTGTAAATAGCAGCATCATTTTTGATTTGTTGCTAAGGACTTGTTGTGAAATGAAGAAGGCCGACGAGGCTGTTGACTGCTTCTACTTGATGGTAGATAAAGGTTTTATGCCTAAGACTGAGACGTGCAATGACATGCTGAGTTTGCTCTTGAAATTCAACCAAACGGAGAGGGTGTGGGTTTTGTATGCTGAGATGTTTAGGTTGAAGATAAATTCGAGTGTTTGTACGTATAACATAATGATTAATGTGTTGTGTAAAGAAGGGAAGCTGAAGAAGGCAAAGGAGTTTGTTGGGTTTATGGAGAGTTCGGGCATTAAGCCTAATGTTGTAACTTACAATACGGTAATTCACGGGTTTTGTTCAAGAGGGAGAGTTGGAAGGGCTCAAATGATCTTTAGTGCTATGATAGGTAAAGGCATTGAGCCAGATTCCTACACTTATGGTTCACTTATTAGCGGGATGTGCAAGGAAAGAAGACTTGAGGAAGCAGCGGGGCTTTTCAATAAAATGCTGGAAATTGGGGTACTTCCAAGTGCTGTGACTTACAACACCTTGATTGATGGTTATTGCAACAAAGGTGATCTGGACAAGGCTTTCAGTTATAGAGATGAGATGGTGAAGAAGGGCATAAGGCCGACTGTGTCAACTTACAATTTGTTGATTCATGCATTGTTTATGGAAGGTAGGATGGTTGAAGCTTATGAGATGGTTAAAGAAATGGAAGAGAAGGGGGTGGTTTCTAATGGAATTACATATAACATCCTAATTAACGGCTATTGCAGAAGTGGGAATGCAAAGAAAGCCTTTAGCCATCTTGATGAAATGTTGAGTAAATCGATAAAGCCTACTAAGGTAACTTATACATCACTTATATATGTTTTGGGTAAAAACAAAAGAATGAAGGAGGCAGATGACTTGTTTAAGAAGATATTGACGAAGGGTGTTCTGCCGGATCTTGTGATGTTCAATGCCTTGATTGATGGCCACTGTGCTAATGGTAACATGGAGCGTGCATTTGCACTTTTGGGGGAGCTGGATAAGATGAAGGTTCATCCGGATGAAGTGACTTACAATACCCTAATGCAAGGGCGTTGCAGGCAGGGGAAAGTTGAGGAAGCTCGTCAACTTCTGGACGAGATGAAGAGAAGGGGGATTAAACCTGATCACATTAGTTACAATACCCTAATTAGCGGTTATAGTAAAAGAGGTGATTTGAAGGATGCCTTTAAAGTTCGGGATGAGATGTTGAGCATAGGTTTCAATCCTACCCTTCTAACTTACAATGCCCTTATACAAGGTCTATCCAAAAACCAAGAAGGTGATCTTGCTGAAGTACTCCTTAAAGAAATGGTGAGCAGAGGGATCAAACCTGATGACAGCACATATTACTCTCTGATTAAGGGGATTGGGAATGTTGATGAATTTGTCAGGAAGGGTGATTCATGAATTCCCTCCATGTTTTCTACTTTCAAAGAAAAAGGAGCGTCTTCTTACCAAAGTTCTAGTTTGAAAATTTATTTTGGTTACTACCTGAAGATGATCACTTTTGCATACTCAGCTCAGATATCTATCTTATTCAAAAGTGTTCTTGTAGTTGATTCAAATTAAACTGAGTGGGTTCACAAAGGAGGAGCTGTAAGATTATTTAACCTTGTGCATTTCAGTTCTTTATTTATTTCTTGGCACTGAGCTATTTACATACATTAGGCTTGAATTTTGTTTGATTGTGAACGAGGTATCATGCGTTCTCCATAAATAGAGTACTATCATAAAGCTAGTTTATAGCAAGAAAGTTTATCATATTTGTGCAGTAAATGTATTTTTGAATTTCATGCTTGGACTGGTAAAATGCTTCATGTATTTAGGCCATGTTTGATAGGGAGGATTAGCTTGGACTAGTAAAATGCTTAGATTTCATGTGCAATCAAGGAAGAATGTGGGTGTTGTGTTCAACTCTCTTTCAAGCTCCACAACTGGGAGCATGCAACTATTTTCCTGCACTTCACGCCCGCAAGCGAAACTCAGATCCAATTTAATAATCTATCTTTACAACTCTTAATATTTGTACATTTCTTTGCCATGAAGTTTCTTATGTCATTATAAATCTTTGTCATATATTTTGAGTTTCTTATATTGTTTTATACCAGAAAAGCTAGTTAAGTATAATGGTAACTTGTTGATTATGCTTTAATGGGTAGTTCTAGCATCTGAGTAATGAGAATGGTTTTCATTTTCTTATCCTATTTTATTACTGCAAAGTTTGGTCAGAAATGTTTCATGTTCGAGTGAATTGTTAATCATACAGAGGCATCAATGAATGATGAGGGTGATGATTACTACGAAGAAGAGTCTGTTGAACTCTATGTGAGTAGTGTGTATGAGTTATTATCGCCACTTGGTAATCTTAGAGATTGATCCTAACAATCTTTTGATTCATTTCAAAGGCTGGAGATGGAGGTGGAGGAGGTGGAATTTCTCTTGCTGGGGTATGGTGGGATAACAAAGCATTAGAAATAGCTGAAGAAGTTATTCTGTCCTTTGATGGTGACCTGAAAATATACGCGTTTAAAACGTTGCCAAATTTCACCATCCAAGTGTGCATTGAGAAGCTTTTGAATAGGTAATCATTAAACCCAAAATTAGATGTGACGAATAATTTTGGATACCTGCTAATTTACAATTTTATAAAATTAGCATGTGATGCAGATTCTATGCTTGCCATGTGTAAGAGCGTATCATGAAACTTTATGTATGCTGATTCTATCAAAATTAGGTTTAATGGGTTGGAGCTCTTAGGGAAATGGTGTTTCATTGTGCACACAGATCTCTATGTTTTGTTTGCAAAGATGTCTTCAGATTGCCTTTTCCTTCACTAACCTAGTCCTCTTTTCTATCTAATAACTCTTTGTGAGCAATCTTTTATGTGAATCGATTTCCAATTGTTTTTAATATAGCTGGATAGTGCATATGATGAAGAAGTGGATCAAAACGTGACATTGTTTCTGCATGTGGTTCAAAAATAGCATATAGCAATTAGATGATTGTATTGGATTATTTGGGATCTTATGCATTATAATGTATCAAATGGTAAAAAGCTTATTTGGGGGTTTATTTGAAAATTGTTAACTTTTGGCCTAAATGTTTCATGTACACATATTTGAAGAGCAGGACAATTGATCTAAAAAGCCTAATATATTAGGAGATGGGATAACAATGCATGTCAATCACAACTTAACAGCTAACTTAACACTTCACCAAACTGGACCTTACACGTGCAAAATAGAAGTTTCCAGAACTAAGTCTTGAACCACTTTTTAGACAATATG